ATTGTAGCCTGCCAGGCTCCTCTGTCCATGGAACTCTCCAGGCAAGAATACTGGAGTGGGTAGCCATTTCCTTCTCCAGGGGATCTTCCTGACCCAGGGATCGAACCCCGTTTCCCACATTGCAGGCAGATTCTTTCCAGTCTAAGCTACCAGGGAGGCCCCAAGTGTCTATCAACTTATGAGTGGATATACAGAATGTATTTCCACACAATGGAATGTTATTCAGCCATTAAAAAGGAATGAAGTTCTGATGAATGCTACACCATGAATTAACCTTGAAAGCACTGTGCTAAGTGAAGGAAGCGAGTCACCAAAGGACAAACATTGTGTGATTTCATTTACCAGAAATGCCTATTGTAGGCAAATTCAAAGAGACAGAAAGTAGATTAGACATTCCCGGGGGGCAACCATAATATCCATTTTTTAGTTTTAGTCATTATCAGATCTTTCTGGATTAACCTTGTTTGTACCTCATTGCATGGCTTGATATAATACAAATTGCAAAATGCTGTGCAAAAGCAATGAGCTGGTGGAGTGACTGATGAACAGCAATATTCTGGAAGCAGCCTTTTTATGTGGTCATCCGCCTGGGTCTTTCCTTTTTATAGCTGAATCGTTCACTGCCCAAATTCCACCACGTCTCAGGATACCTGACACATAGAAGTTATTGGTTAAATAGACATTTACATGCCAGTGTCACTCATGTTAAAAGTCCTGGCAATCCAAGACTGTGTTCTTTTGTTTTTTTGTTTTTTTTCCCAGTATTTTTTTCCTTTTTGGTTTTTACTTCCATCCTAAGTTGTTGCTGTTCAGTTGCTCAGTCATGTCTGACTCTTTCCAACCCCATGGACTGCAGTATGTCAGAGTTCCCTGTCCTTCACTATCTCCTGGAGTTTGCTCAAATACATGTCCATTGATTTGGTGATATCATCTAACCATCTCATCCTCTGTCGTCTCCTTCTCCTCCCACCTTCAATCTTTCCCAGCATCAGGGTCTTTTTCACTGAGTCAGTTCTTCACATCAGGTGGCCAAAGTATTGGAGCTTCAGCTTCAGCATCAGTCTTTCCAGTGAATATTCAGGGTCGATTTCCTTTAGGATTGACTGGTTTGATCTCCTTGCTGTCCAAGGGACTCTCAAGAAGCTTTTCCAGCACCACAGTTCAAAAGCATCAATTCTTTGGTGCTCAGCCTTCTTTATGGTTCAACTCACATCCGTACATGACTACTGGAAACACTATAGTTTTGACTAGACACACGTTTGTAGCAAAGTAATGTCTCTGCTTTTTAATACTCTATCTAGGTTTGTCATAGCTTTTCTTCCAAGGAGCAAGCATCTTTTAATTTTATGGCTGCATTCACCGTCCACAGTGACTTTGGAGTCCAAGAAAATAAAGTCTGCCACCGTTTCCATTTTTTCCCCCATCTATTTGCCATGAGTAAGCTACAAGGGATAGGGGCAGTCTACATTTAAGCAACCAGGAAGATTTAGGAACAAGCCAAGCCTTGTTCCTCCTAGTTGGGCCAGGTGCGGTGAGCCTGTGAGATACTCGTTCGCCCCCTAGTGGTGCAGGTGGGAATTCCTATGGCTCTCTGCTAGCAATTTGGCAATCTTGAAGAACTGCTGACGTTGAGATGAAATTATCTACCCATAGATTAATAAATGTAGAAATGCATAATGGTGTTAAGTTCTACCTACTTCAGACAAGCATAGTAATAAATACATTGTACGTGTGACCTGAGGTTGAGAGAGAAGACTCTGAGGGTTACTTGATTTGAGGGCTAGGAACCACCTGTGCTAGATTCTCAGCTGGCTCAGTGGTAGAGAAGCCGCCTGCCAGTGTAGGAGGCACAAGAGACACGGGTTTGATCCCTGGGTCAGGAAGATCCCCTGGAGTGGAAAATGACAACACGCTCTAGTATTCTTGCCTGGAAAATCCCACAGACAGAGGAGCCTGGTGGACTACAGTCCATGGGGTCCCAAAGAACAGGACACAGCTGAGCAACGACAGAAGCATTGACTGGGGCGAGGGTATGGGGTATAAAGTAGGTTAATGGTTCGCAAAGTGCAGCCCCGACCAGCAGCAGCTGCACCACCTGGGGAAAGTGTTAGAAATGCAGATCCTTGGGCCATGCTGAATTTGAAACGCTGGAAACTCTTATTTTCAGAATCCACCCCCCAGGTGACTCCAATGCATACAAGAGTCTGAGAGCGACTGGCACTCCTTTTTGGTTGGTTGTTCCTTTTTAACATTTTTAGCCCCACCCTGCTGCATATGGGCCTTAGTTCCCCTTGGTCCCGCTGCATTGGAAGTTTAGCCACTGGATTGCCGGGAAAAATCCTGATTCCTGTGTTCCATCTGTGTTAAAAGGTGATTTAATACCTCTGTGCGTCGATTTGCATGATTGTAAAATGCAAATTGGCTTCCCAGATAGCTCAGTGGTAAAGAATTCGCTTGCTGAGGCTGGAGACACAGGAGACGCCGGTTCTATGCCTGGGTCAGGAAGATTCCCTGAAGGAGGAAATGGCAACCCACTCCAGTATTCTTGCCTGGGAAATCCCATGGAGAGAGGAGCCTGGTGGGCTACAGTCCATGGGATCTCAGAGTTGGACAAGACTGAGCACACAGAAAAAATGCAAATAGTAGAACCTGTCATAGCTTGCTGTGTGGATTCATGTAAAGTGCTTAGAAAAATAAGCACCCCAAAGTTCACTATTAATATACTATTATTTCAATCCTGTCCTCTTCTTTCTCATTGTTGTAGTTCAGTCACTGAGTCGTGTCCAACTTGCTGCGACCCCATGGACTGCAGACAGACCAGGCTTCCCTGTCCTTCACTACCCATCAAGTTGGTGATGCCATCCAACCATCTCATCCTCTGTCGCCCCCTTCTCCTCCTGCCTTCAACCTTTCCCAGCATCATGGTCTTTTCTTCGCATCAGATAGCCAAAGTATTGGAGCTTCAGCTTCAGCATCACTCCTTCTAGTGAATATTCAGGGTCAATTTCCTTTAGGACAGACTGGCTGGATCTCCTTGCAGTCCAAGGGACCCTCAGGAGTCTTCTCCAGCACCACAGTTTGAAAGCATCAATACTTTGGCACTCAGCCTTCTTTATGGTCCAACTCTCACATCCATACATGACTACTGGAAAAACCATAGCTTTTACTATACAGACCTTTGTCAGCAAAATAATGTCTCTGCTTTTAATACTCTGTCTAGGTTTGTAATAGCTTTTCTTCCAAGGAGTAAGCATCTTTTAAGTTCATGGCTGCAGTCACTGTCCTCAGTGATCTTGGAGCCCAGGAAAATAAGGTCTGTCACTGTTTCCATTTTTCCCCTTTTTGCCATGAAGTGATGGGACCGGATGCCATGATTTTCATTTTTTGAATGTGGAGTTTTAAGCCAGCTTTTTCACTCTCCTCTTTCACCTTCATCAGGAGATTTTTTAGTTCCTCTTTGCTTTCTGCCATTAGGGTGGTATCATCTGCACATCTGAGGTTATTGATATTTCTCCCAGCAAACTTGATTCCAGCTTGAGCTTCATCCAGCCCAGCATTTCACATGATGTACTCTATATGTAAAATAAGCAAAGTGACAATATGCAGCCTTGACGTACTCCTTTCCCAGTTTTGAACCAGCCCGTTGTTCATGTCCAGCTCTAACTCTGCAGGTTTCTCAAGAGGCGGGTCAGGTACAGATGAGTCTGTGGAAAGTTCATTTCAAGAGCTCAGACTGGAGGCGCTCAGTGGATCTGAAGCCCGAGTCTGGGACTCCCTGCCCTCACCACCCTCCCTGCTCACAGCACAGGATCTGGTGGCAGTTACAAGGCCAAAACAAAAACTTATAAATACATACAACACACCTCTGCCCCCATAGAAGCACCCCCATTCCTGGAGAGGAGACAGAGCACTTTTGGGCTGGGGAGATGTCAGATGCACAGTGCCTGGCATAGGAACAAGAAAAAAAAATGGTAAAATGAAAGCATTGACTCTCTTGGGCTGCTGCCTACACACCCAGTTACTGGTTAGTGAAAAGATGGCCCATATGGCTAGTTAAAAATAATCCTCCTGCTGCCAGCAGGTCAAGCAGAATCAATCCAGAGGACTGGGAATGGGCCAAATAAGGTGCAAATTTGCATTCAGTTAACCTGGTTTAGCAAACTGATTCATTTGTCTTGTGCAGACTCTACTGTGAGGCCTCTGTGGCCTTACAGGATAGAGTTTAATTGATCATTGACTTTCCTGATTAAGAAAACCACACAGACCTGTTAGCAGAGCCTGCCTTAAAAAAAAAAATGCAGCTTTTGTTATAATGGACTGTATATGAGAGCCAACTCAGTGCAGTGGGAAGTAAAGAAAGATGAGATTCAAAACATCTGGGGTCTAGGCCTGCTTCTTTTAAGATTGAGGTTCAGTCTATCTCTTCAAACCCCAGGCTCCCTATCTTCTACAGAGCTGGAGTTGGACCCCCTGGCCAGGAGGCATGTGAAGACAATATTAAATAATTTTATTACTTCTGCTTTCACTAGGAAGTCTCAATGTGGTGATAGCCTGTCTTCAACACCTCTTTAATCATGCTTAAATCTCCCTTTTCTGTGTCAACAGTATCCGGCACGAATTCATAAAAGTATATTGTTTCTATTTTATTTGTTCCCATGCTTTGTGGAAAGAAGTGGTGTTGATTTTCTATTTGTAGATTGGGGGTGATATCCTGTAAAATTTGTTTGCTGAAACTCGACTGAAGAGAAAGATTAAGGAATAGTGCATGAGTAAATATTAAGTAATCGCAACAACCATTTAAATTTTGGGCAAAAGTGGCTGAAGCACAAACCCTCCTCCACTCATACCAGTCTCTGGATCCGGGTCTGAATTTTCCCCTAGTGTCTGAGGGCCCGGGAGGCGTGGCCCGCCCTCTAGCCCCGCCCCCAGCCCGACACACATTCCATAAGCCACGCCCCGAGCGCCCCTCACCGCTCTCGCTCCGCCCCTCGGACGCTGAGGCGCGGCGCTCCGCGGCGGCAAGATGGCGGCGCAGGCGCAGGCCAAGGCCCGTGATGGTGGTGCGCAGCTGGCAGGACCCGCGGCAGAGGCCGACCCCCTGGGCCGCTTCACGTGTCCCGTGTGCCTGGAGGTGTACGAGAAGCCGGTGCAGGTGCCCTGCGGACACATGTAAGTGGCGGGTTGGGCCCGGTCGGGGTGGTGGTGGGGAGGGGGATTCTCCTGACTGGAAGGAAGATGGAGCTGAGGAGTGAGGCCCCAGCAGGAAGGGTCCCCGGGCTGGAGCGGGAGGCCTGGCCTCGAGGCGCGTCTCCTCGGGGCTCCCGGGGGCCCGTGGACGTCGGCAGGGCGCTCTTCTCTGCCGCCCCGCTTCCTCCCTAGCGTCTGCCTCTTGCGTTGAGCGCCCGCTGTGTCCCGGCCCCCCTCCCACGCGTGATGGCGGAGTGGCACCCTGTTGGCGGGTTGGTGGAGCCCGAGGCCCGCCGGGTCCCCGTGAATATAGGCTGCCCGTGGCCCCTCAGTTATGCTGTGTCCTGTGCCCGGCTCTGCCCGGCAGTTCCGATGTGCTCCGAAGCTGGAGAAACGGTCGACTGGACCAAAAGGACAAAAGGAGAGTCCTGAAGTAGACCTGACCCGTCTGCCCTTCACGGGAAAGGGGTCGGGAGCTGGCAGGCAGCGGTTGTCAGCGTTCCCACAGGCGTACGAGGTTTGTTGCGCTGTGTTTGATATCCAGAGCCTCCATACTGCTTAGAGACTGCTTATGAGGACGAAAAGAGCTTTTGTGAGAATGTCCAGTGACAGGCTCTGGGGTGGGCTTTGAGAGTGGGCCAGATTTGAATGGAAGCCTTGCTCCATCAGACCCGCAAAACGGCCGAGTGGAAAGAATTGTAGAAAGCGTGGCTGCCCCCTTCTTGCTGCTGGGGGTTGGATTTTGCCCTGTGGCCTCCCCCAGCGCTTCTCACCGTGGGCATCGCTCGGGGTTGGTGTTGGGGCCCCTCCGTTGGTCGGGAGGCACAGCGGGCACCTGCTGGGCGTTCCTGTTCCTGAAGCAGCCCTGCGGGGGCAGGGACGTGGCAGCCATTTTGCAGGTGAGGGCACCGAGGCTCCCTCAGGGCCGGCTCAGCATTGGCCGCTCTCGCCTGATGGACCGCGGGTGTCTGCCTGCCCAGGGCTCCTCAGCCACCCGGATGCCTTTTTGCTCGTACGAGGACACCAAACTCTTTCCAGCTTCAGGCTCTTCCTGCTTGTAGTTCGGTTAGCCTGGAAGTCTTCTTGCCCCTTCAGCCGCTCCCCCGTCACCACCCCAAATCCTTTCCAGACTTCAAGGCCCAGTTCTGGTAACCTCCCTTGTCACTCTCCCTATTTCAGTTACCTCCCTGCTTCTCTTCGGAGGACTCCTCCTCGTGCCTTTCAGAGAGCAAAACTTAGGGCTCATGAGGGCAGTGTTTTGCACCTCTTTCTGTTCCAAGTGCCCAGTGTAGTGTCTGAGCAACTATTTTCCAATCTTATATTCAACTAGCTAAAAATATTTGTATACACACTATGTGCCAGATTGGGGAACATCCTAAGAAACAAGGTGATTCTGCCCTCAGAGTTCACAGTCCACTAAGTTGATGATAAATAAGTACTAGGCGTGTTCAGACCCTTGTCAGTCAAACTCATTGTCCACTGGGAAGGTATTACAGAGATAAAGCCTGTGTGAGTGGGGACAGGGGAGTGACATTTAACACTATAAAGAGACTTGAGCCAGCACAGTTTACCAACTAAAGAGCAGCGAAATTTGAGGTTTCCTTGAACCAGGTGGACCTTTCCAAGGTCAGAGGTCAAGGGGCAGTACTGATATTCAAACCTTAGCTCTTATCTATACTCACCATACTAGCTCCACGTGTTCATCAGTTCGATGCTGATTGAAAACAGATGGTGGGATCTCTGTGAGGGCCCCCACATCTCCCTTAGCTCCCACTGAGTGCTTTTTGCTCTGCCTGCTTGATTTTTGCTACCTTTTGTGCTTGAAAACAGCATCACTGCAGCTCCAGCTGCATGGGGCATTGAGTTCTTATAAAACTTTATTTCACGTCCTGAATTTACATCCCTCTCTACGTTAGTGGAGTATAGCTGGAGACTGGCAGGTGGCTGGGTGCCCAAGAGAAGGACTTGTCTACGGAGCATTATAACAGGAAGGGTGGGCCATCTAGAAGGCTGAAAAAGGCCCATCAGTAGGAAATGGAAACTGAAAGCCAGACCAACATTGTTTACTCGCTAAGTCATATCCGACTCTGCGACCATATAGACTGTACCCCTCCACGCTCCTCTGTGCATTGGATTCTCCAGGCAAGAATACTGGATTGACTTACCATTTCCTTCTCTAGTTGATCTTCCCAACCCAGGGATCGAGCCTGTGTCTCCTGGACTGGCAGGCAGATTGTTTACCACAGAGCCACCAGGGAAGCCTGTCCAAGATACAGGGGCCATTTAAGAGCAAGCTGGTTTGTTAGGCATGACGGGCAGAGTGGCTTGTGAACATTGATCTCTGAGTCACAGCTAAAACCGCATTAACATCTAGCTAAACGACAAAAAGGTAGAAAACTTTTAGAGACAGTAAAAAATATATATATACAGATTACCTTTGATTATATATCCAGAGTTCTTCCTGGTAGATTTTGTTATCTTGCCTTAGATCTCTGAGGTTGCAAGTGCAGCTGGGCTACTTTCATGCCTCATTATTCCTTCTTTCTCTGTACCTTATCTCAGTATTACCACCTGTCTAGGCTTCAGATGTACAGAAAGTTGGTCATCTTTAACTTCTTTTCTTTTCCAAATTCAGTAAATTTGGAAAGTCGCCCTGAATCCACCCCTGAATCATTTCCTGAATTCTTTATTGCCTCAGTCAGGCCCTCATGATCTCTTGCCTTCGGCCATCTATTTGGTTTCTTATCTAAAAAAAAAAAAAATTAAAACTGACAACTCTATTGTCCATGCTAACCCCAGAGTTATTTTTCTAAAACTTGATTTTGGTTTGGTTGATACCTTGCTTTAAGTACCTGGGGCTTATGAGGCAGAGTGGTAAATATGCACGATGCATGTAAGGAAATGGAAGTCCAGGGGCCTGAAATATTCTTCCCCTCCTCTACCGCTGAACTCTTCTAAGGCTCTTTCATGTATGCTGTCTGAAGTCTAACCACTACTGTCTTTCTCCGGTTACAGCTGGCTGCTCTTGACTTTGTGTTTCCATAGTGCTTTGCATTCACCTCTATTGATGGCTGCTCCAGCTTATGGTGCATTTCATATGTGCTAGACACTGTCCTAAGAGTCCACTATACATAATCCATCCTCCCTAAATTCTAGAGGTAGGTACTGCAGTCTCCACAGAAGAGAAACTGAAGTTTGGGAAACCCCAGCAAGATCCCTCAGTGGCCAGGACTAAGGACTGAAGACTGTGCCATAGCACCTTCTGCCATGTGTCATGGTAGTTTGCGTTTATTTCTGCTGTTGGACCTGTGTGTTCTTTGCAAGGAACACTGCCCACCTCCCCGATCCTACCGCCACCATTTTTCTTGCCCAGAAGGACTGAATCAAGAGCAGAGAGCGAGTAGTTTTTAATTCATTATCCATTGATGTCATTTTGAAAAGTTTATCCATTTTTGTTGTTTTGTCTCCACGATGCATGACGCAGGTTCTCTGTATGTCTTGTTCTAGCTTTTGCTCTGCATGCCTGCAGGAATGTCTGAAGCCGAAGAAGCCTGTCTGTGGGGTGTGTCGCAGCACTCTGGCACCTGGCGTCCGAGCCGTGGAGCTCGAGCGGCAGATTGAGAGCACAGAGACTTCTTGCCATGGCTGCCGTAAAAATGTATGTGGAAGTGAAACGGAAGAGTCAGTGTCTGTCTGTAAGATGGGTAAAACATAGAGCTGTTGCCACCTTGTTTCTGAACTTAGAGCGTGACTAAGTGACTAACAGCACGTGTGCATGCTGGCTGTCTGTGGCCGTGGCCGTGCTGTTGCATTTTAGTAAGCTGATTGGCTGTGTGGTTTGGTTTTTTTCTTTTAAAGAGTTGGTTTAGCATATTACATAGCTTAGCTTTGAAAGCCATAGAAATCAGTTATCCCAGTTTTTTTCTGTAACAGACCCATTTTTCCCAAAGCAGCATACACAAATTTAATTAGAATATGACAGAGTGATATTTCTCCATTTTTTAAAATATAAAATGAAGTCAGTGCCTCAAAGTTACCTGCTGCAGTGAGTTTGAGGGGAAATTTTGTGATGTATTTTACTACAGATGTAAAACTTGTTCAGCTTTTGGCACTTGGCAAATAGGAATTGTTGTACAAAGGTCAGTAAATAGCGATGTCCAGTATTTGAAGTGCATCCATGTTTTTTTTGTATGACCATATTAGAGTCAAGAATGTTTATTTTAAAATAATTATAACTGCACAGGAGAAATACTATTTTATTTTCCAAAGAGATATATGCAGAATTATTGGGTTTTAAATAATTGCGATTTCATTAATTCCAAACAGCCCAAAAATATAAATTAATGTGGGCTTGTTCTCCACTCCGGAGATTACCTCTTTAAAAATACTTCAATTTAGAAGGCTACAAAACATTTTTCTGCTCTCTGACAAACACAGGTGTGGGTTTTATACAAACATAGATGTAGGATTTTTACAAAATAAGGTCTACTATAATATATATTTATACAACTTCTTTACACTTTTGAAAAATTTTTTTCACTTCCTGACTTACCGGACATCCTTGCATGTCAGTTTCATTACTTTTAACACCTTAGTGTGAGCAGCCATAGACTGGATGTCCCTTTACCGTTTCCTCCTTTCAGAGTGATTTAGCACTAGGAGTACACAGTGGCTGTAGCTCTGAATAGAGCTATTTCCCATCCCCTTTAACTGGGAGCTCTTTGAGTGGCAGCTTGAAGTCAAGTTCTTTAGCTGGAAATAAGACAGAAGCATCATGGTAAGCCAGAGTGCAAGTACTGAAACATATTTTTCCTTACAGTTTCTTTTGATTTAGAAACTTAAGATATTGAAGTAAAATTTCCTGTTACTTCATCTTACTTTTAAAAGAATTTTCTATATGCTTTTGACTTTCATTGTAAAGATTAGTGGTTATATTCTATTTCCAGGTGTATTCTACCTCCAGAAATGTTTATCTTCCTTTTACCTCATTTTTCATTCCTTAATTTTTTTCTTTCTTTTTAGAACACCTATGATGAAACACTCTACTCTGGGCTTTCTTTTGTCTTTCTGTCTTGCAAAGACTAGATTTTATTAATGAAGTAGAATTCAGAATCTGATTATTATTTTTTCTTTTTGGTAAGAAGTTCATTTATCACAATCTGGTGACAGAATATTATTGTTTAACTAGGATTACTGGCCTTTATCCCTTTTATGTAAATCATCACTTTTCTCTGCTGCACTTATAACGGAATATGGTTCTTGGCATGCTGAAAGGAGACTAGTTTAAGTGCTGGAGTAGAAAACTTTAGACACTGCACTGGGTTTAGAGTGTCTCTGAGCAGAGAGCATATCATGAATAAAACAAACCTCTCCGAGGGTGCTTTTAGAGTGGAGGCAGATATCCTGGTTTGCTCAAGTAAAACATCAGCCTTGATACTAATAGAAACCCTGCAAAAAAAGTCAGAGTTTCAGTCCCTTCAGTGGAGCCAGGAGTCTCGTGAGGTTCTTTGCCTCGCCAGGGCAGTATAGGTCTAGTTTACGTCTTGCCTTTGCTTTGGGACTGTGTTGGATTGGGTACAAGATCCCAGCTAACTTGTGGGCTCCGATTCTTCCTGCCTAAGTTCTTCCTGTCCAAGATCCGGGCACATGTGGCTACCTGTTCCAAATACCAGAATTACATCATGGAAGGTGTGAAGGCCACCACCAAGGACGCGTCTCTTCTGCCAAGGTAAATGGTTCTATCACTGTCTTCAGTGGATGTCTTTCTTCATGAGTTTTGGAAAGCAGAGGTGTAATTGTTAGGCTGGCTAAAGCTGGTGTAAGTTTTTGTTTTGGGGTGGTTATGGAGGGCTCGCATGTTCACTTTAAATGCGGGCTAGACTGTTACTTCCAAAACATGTGACCTGACTCAGAAGGATCACCAGAATCCCTGTCCTGACACATTGAGAGAACTTTGCTTTTGCTCCTTGGGGAGGGGACAGTGGTTGAGATTGTGTGGGACTTTAACTCACAGAGAAGTTTCTTCTTTTTTCTTGCCTTTCATCTTCCAGAAGTGTCCCAAACCGTTATACTTTTCCTTGTCCTTACTGTCCTGAGAAGAATTTTGATCAAGAAGGACTTGTGGAACACTGCAAGTTATCCCATAGCACGGACACCAAATCTGTGGTAAGAGAAAACTTGAGTTGTTTTGTTTTGTGGGTTTTGTTTAAATTTTTATGGGGGAAAAACTCAAACTTTACAAAAAGTTACAGGATTAGTTAATGAACTCTTAATTTACCCTTCAGGTGGACTCACAGATTAAATTTTTACCATGTTCGCTTAACCATACTCTGTATACATATTTTGTGCTAGCATTTCAGAGTAGGTTACAGATACCATGACCCTTTGCCCCTAAATACTTTAGCACGTATCTCCTAGGAAGAAGTATATCTTTTTAGAAAACCACATTTTTTGTGTTTTAATTTTCACACTCAGGAATCGTCACATTGATATAAGCTAATACCTTATCTGCAATTCATGTCTAAATTTTAACAGTAGAAATGTCCTTCAAGGCAATTTTCCCCAGCCCACAGATCCTGGATCTGTGTTATATTTGAATGTTGAGTCTCTTTAGTCCTCAGTTTTTCTTTCTTCCATGACCTTGACATTTTCTAAAGAGGGTGGGCCACTTGTTCTGTAGCTTGTCTTTCAGTTTGGGTTTGTCTGTTTCTTCATGATTACATACTCGAATGCTCTATCCTCTGCATACACATCACGGAAGTCAGGTGACGTCCCTTGCTCCCATTGTTGGTAATGTTAATTTGGATCTCCTGGTGTCTGCCAAGTTTCTACATAAAGATGCTGTTTTCCATTTGAATAGCTTCTTCATAGTTGTGGAGAAAGAGAATTTAGATGGAAGTATTAGGAAAGTGCTTATCAGTCTTTGACATTTAATTTAAATATCTAGGCTGACATGTGGTTTTCTTAAGAAAAAAGAAAAGTTCAAATTTGGTCCATCTCAGCAGTATTACCCTACCCTCTTAATATGATTGCCAGACGGGGTCTTAATACAACTGTCTCTAGTTTCATTTCTATTTTCTCATTTATCTTACGCCCCAAAGCCAAGTTTTCGGCTGCTGCTTCAAGATGTTTTAGTTACAGTTCTTAATAACTAATTACTGATTGAAAGAGCAAATGAGCTTAGACACAGACACACAGCCGCCGCCACCTGCCCCCACTACCCATTTTCCATTTTAAAGTTAGCCAGGTAAACTCAACTCTGTTGCTAATTATGAAAACTAAAACGGATGTTAAATCAAATGACAGAGATACTTTCATTCATTTCCTGCCACCATCTTCCCTGCACTCATTTCTGGAAGCCCACAAATGCTACCCACGCTAAGTGGATGAAGCTGGTTAATGCAAAAACCAGTACTGGAACCCGGTATCCTGGCACTTAAACCAGTTCTATCTTCACGGCGTCAGAGGCACCTCTGTGGGCTACCCAGTGGCCTCTGAGTAATGCTCACTGTGTGTGTGGAAAGTACAAAATTGTGTCACCCAGGCACATTTCTAGCTTTCGATCGGAAGTATGACTCATGCATGTCCTCCTTTCTTGTCCCCCTTTTGATGCCAGTGATGGCGCATTCTGCACACTGTAACCGGCGTCACTGACATCGATTTCACATCAGTACATGTGGATCTGATTCTTTTTTAATGAGCTTCCAGTTTTCCATTACTGGTCTGTACCATGATTTAACTGGTCCCTTCTTGACAAATGTCAGGACTGGATATTAATTTAAGGACTCTCCGAAATTTAAAGACTGGATATTAATTGCTGCTAAAAAATGGTTGATTGGTGGGCGAGATAATAAGTAATATTGTATTTGTAAAGGGAAACACATTTTTAGGACTGTTCTGAAAGAGTAAAGGGTGAATTGTATCTTATTTTTAAATGCTTCATTTATTGCTGAAGTAAGTGTGCCACACTTAAATCTAGGTGTTGGGGATAAGGAATAGTTTATTAAATTATTATTTCCTATAGTTCTGAAGTTTTTCATAGTGCATTTGAAAAGATTGCCATGGATTTTGACGCACCTTCACCTGTATTTTTGTATGTCTGTGAAGTAAAGTCTTAAACTGCCGCCAGTTGAGCTAACTATGCTCCTTTCTCCGGGGCCTGGTGTACAGTGACCGCGGACAGCATCCTCCTTGGTAGTGTGTGCAGCCTGTTGCTTGGATGGGTTGCCCTAAGGGACCTTGGAGATAGACTTTTCCCACGGACATTCCTGTGTGGCGTTCCCAGTCTAGGCTCCAGACAGGTATGCAGGGTGCCTTTGGAAAGCCCCAAGGCACAGTGGCCAGAGCCCACATTGACCAAGTCATAATGTCCATCGACACCAAGCTGCTGAACAAGGAGCGTGTGATTGAAGCCCTTTTCAAGGCCAAGTTCAAGTTCCCCTGGCCACCAGAAGATCCATATCTTCAAGAAGCAGGGATTTGCTAAGTTTAATGCAGATGAATTTAAAAACCTGGGGGCTGAGAAGTGGGCCCATCCCAGATACCTCTAGGGTCAGCTTCATCCCTAATCATGGCCCCCTGGACAAGGCCTTGTCCCTTTCTCAGTCAAGGCCATCAGTAAGTTCTATTTCCTGACAAAAAAAAAATTAGTAAAGTCTTAGATCTGTATTAATTTGGTCAAAGTTACTAAGTATATTCATAATCTTGATAGGTATTGCTAAACTACTCTGGTATCTGACACTGCAGCTCAATTTTCTCTCCTTTTCCCCCTTCTTTGGCTTCCTGAAATCCTTCTGATTACTTGATCTCTTTAAAGCCCTTGCACCTCCCCATTCTGCCCCCCTTCTGCAGAACTCACTAAGGATCAGTGTTTGAGCCCTTCCCTTGGGACATCTCCTCCTCAGACTCTGGTCCTGACTGTACTCTGCTCCTCAGCACCAGCTCTTCCACTTGAGGAGTCACCCAGCATGTCACATGCTTCTCGTGTCAACCCCCTTTGTCACCATATATCTTCCTTGTAAAGTAAATGGTGACATGCCGTTTCCAATCCAGACCACTTATGCCTGGTTCTCCCCCTTCCCACTCCTCTCTGCCTCTCTCCAGGAATTTTCCATCCTAGCCACACTGATTGGCTGTTTGCCATGTACTATTTGTCTTTCCAATACCTCCGACTCTTCAAAGCCAGAATCAGCCTCGTGTGAAGGCTTTTCACCCTGAGCCCCTTCATCTGAACATTTACTTTATAAAAATAGCATGTAAGACTGTGTTACTTCCTCAGGACGTTGCTCACCTGTCGTTTCCTTGGTTTTCTTGGTGCTTTTATTACCATTTTTCCCACTGGGTTGGAAGGCTCCGTCTGGGCCCCTCATGGTCTGACACGCTGACACCCTGTTCTCTACTTAGTAGGGAATTAGAAATGGATGGTATCATGGCTTAAGCCTTTCCCCACCACCCACACCCTGCCCTGCATGTTTGTCAGCAGGAGACTGATGCTGTCTTCTGGGAAGTGAATGTGCCCTTGAGGGTGTGACAGGTGCTGGGCCAGGAGTCAGGAAAGCTATCCTGGAAGAAAGATGACCGGACACAGTCCACAGAGCGCTGATGTCTGCTCAGGTGCCAAATGCCTAAACCAGTCCCTAACACTGTGCTGCTTTGCCGGAAGGTGTGTCCCATATGTGCCTCGATGCCCTGGGGAGACCCCAACTACCGCAGCGCCAACTTCATTGAACACCTGCAGCGCCGGCACCAGTTCTCCTATGACACCTTTGTGGTGAGTCTGCAGCCCAGGCTCTGATTCCTAACCACCACCCACCCCCCCCAACCCAGCGGGCCGCACGGCTCCCTCCCTCCCTCCTCTGACCCGAGAACTGCAGGCCCCCAGGGCGGGAGTTTGTCACTGACGTGATGGGCTCCCTGGGGTGACAGCTCTGTGGCATTTAAGGAAGTATCCACTTCCTTATATTTGTATCCACTTTCTTTCATATGTGGCTTCTAGCTGTTACAGAACCTGGTTTGGGATCCTTAAGCTCAGAAGCCCATCGGTCCAGGCAAGTCATGGAAGTGATTCTCCTAGGGAGTTACAAGCTGGACAGTGTATATGACTCCTAATGCTGCCAGCAACTCCAGCTGATTGGGGCGGAGCCCGGCACTGTGTTGCCCGGTTCCTTCCTGCCCCAATACCAAGAAGCTGGAAATGCAGAATTTCGTGTGGAGTGTCCCATATTTATTTCTTAAAGTACTTCAGGTCAAATCAAACACACTGGGACTTGCCTGGTGGTCCAGTGGCTAAGACTCCATGCTCCCAATGCAGGGGGCCTGGGTTTGATGCCTGTTCAGGGAACTAGATCCCAAATGGTGCAACTGAATACTCCCCTGTGTGCCATAATGAAGACCCGGTGCAGCCAAATAATTTAATTAAAAAAAAAAAAAAACTAGCCAAACATGGTTATCAAGTTTACATCCTTTCCCAGGAGCTGAGTGGTTTTGAAGGGCACACTGTTGTCTTGGCATTACGGTGACAGAAATCTAGCTAGTTGTCTCAAGTAAACCTTTTATTTACATATATAGGTGTCGGGTTAGGATTTGAGAATAGCATTCAGTCTCAATGGCTGTGTTTCAGGACCCAAGACGGAAAGCATGACTCTTTGCTGAGTTGTCATAAAGAGTAATTTATTCTTGTCCTAATAAGAGTATCTGAAATTCAGACCTCAAAATTAACATCTTTTTGTTAAAGGTGAATACAGTTGTCAAGTCAAGCCCAAGTAGGTAGCTTTGCCTCCTTGAGTCAAAAAGGCTGTTTGCACCCCGGACACTCCAGCCCTGAGCACCTGGTCTGTGCTAGGCTTCACGCAGGTGCTCGCCGGTCCTCGCTGCCTGCCCGTCTGAGCGAGCCATGGGCATATTCCTGGTCAGTGAGGCAGCCGAGGCCCGGAAGTAAAGCAGTTGCCCAGAGTCAGGCAGCCAGCATGCAGACCGTGCAGCTGGGCCCTGGCCCTTCTCCAGAGCTCTGCTCAGATGCCCTGCTTCTCCGACCCAAAGTGAGTCCTCAGCTGCACACAGTTGCTGAGCGTCTGTGTTGTCTGCAGGATTACGACGTGGATGAGGAAGACATGATAAACCAGGTGCTGCAGCGCTCCATCATCGACCAGTGAGCAGGCCCGCCCAGGCTGTGTTCCCCAGCCTCGGCTACGTGTGTGAAACGTGACTCGCCCCCCTGCGTGTGCGGCAGACCGGGGAACGGGCCCCCTGGTGGGCCCTCCTTTCCTTTGGGCTGTGCTCACCTGTGTGTCGCCTATCTGGTCTTCTGTTGCTCCTCAGCCGCTTGGCAGAGCCTCTGTCTCCTCTCCAGAAGGTAACCCAGCTGCACCCCGCACCCCGTCCTCCCGGTCCTCCCGTCCTGTGTCAATCTCTCAGGTCCTCTGAGCCAGCCAGGACCTTCCCTGGGTCATAAATAGCACAAATGAGATGAGCGTCTCCTCTCCTTGTCTCGGGGTCTGTGAGCTCTGGCAATAATGTGTCTCGTGGGTGATGGAGCTGCTCCCGTGCAGTGCGAGTTCCTGTTTGTTGGTCGTTGGCAGCAGCTGCCGGAAGCTGGAGTTACCTCATGGGAAACATTTCACAAGTCCCGTTGGAGTGAATGTTCTGAGCTTAACGTGGTCTGATGCTGGAAGTTTTGATGGGTGCTGTTTTCCTACCATTCCTGCACACCCTTAGGAATAACTGGTTCAACCTTAAATGCCTGCATGGTGCCTTTCTAGGGTAAGGTGTAACCACATATTTTTAGTGAAAAGAAGCATTTCTGACTTAGGAAACTTAAACTCCATTTATTACTAAACGAGGAGAAGGGTCAGCTTAAGTGAGGTGGGAGGGCCACAGCTTTGGGTTCTGATTTTCTTCAAACTAATGAGTTATTTTCCAATGACTTGTTCATGTTTGCCTCTCTGTTTGGGAACCTGCTCACATTCTTGTCCTCGAAGCACGAGAGGAGTCCGCAGATGAGTGAGAAGCTCTGGGGCCCCAGTGGGCGCCAGCTCTTTCATCTTTCATTTGGCAACTTAGATTCACCCGAGGGTTGCTTTCCTGTCACACACTTTTTCCCTATAAAACTGGTTTCAACACGTCAATCAGTGTGCGAAGACCTACCTTCTGAGGCGGAGGGCTTAGGGGAAGTCCAGCCTGCCCACCTGCTGCCTCTCTGACAAGACCCGCAGGTCAGGAGGCACAGCACACCTCCTGGGAGCAGTTGGCCGTGGAAACTGTCTGCCAGAAACTTGCTTTGCTAACAGCTCAAGAAGCTTGAAGTTCACCTTGTTTCACCAGTGCTAATAAGGCCATGGGCTGTCTCATCTGGAGGAGCAGAGCCTCTGGTAGACCAGAATGTTCCGTATCTAGGTTTAGTTTTCCCTGTTAGACCTCCTGTCTGAATAGGGATATTTTTGCTGGTCAGTGGCTGAAGTTGCAGGTGACCCAGGGCTCTGGGCCTGGACACTGCTGCTGGGGGCCTCGCCCTCGCTGCCACTGGGATCATGTGTGCTCAGGAACCAGCAGGGACGGGGTCCTGTGTGGGGAAAGTAACTTTCTCTAACGCGCTGTCGCTCGGGAGGGCCCAGGTGTTGTTACAGCTTCTTCACTAATTTCTGGAGAAAGTTCGCTCTGACCCTCCTGAATTGAGATCATCTCAGCCTAAGTTTAGAGGGAAATGTAACAAAAGCTTCATTTGAGAGAACCTGATGGTGGTCTCGCAGTGGTACCAAGAAACAGATTTCATTGTATTAAGTGCACTTCATGTATTTCTAATAAGATGACTTTCCAGAAAGTGACATTTGTCATGTTCTGGCTTTTAAAGTGAAATATAAATAAATTTTCATGATTTATCCAACTGGTACCCTGTAATGCCTATTGTTATTAACCTCAGTTTGCTGAAGTCTGGGCTTGGGGAGCTTCTGGAAGACTGTTGTGCTTTTTAAGGGGAAGTTCTTGGCTGTCACGAGTGAGTCCCGTCTGGCTCTGATGTCAGCTCTGACCCTTCACCAGCTGGCCTTACCGGGCCTGCCATCTCCGGAGAACAGACCCACCTCCCTGCCACCCCTGTCCCCACCGTCCTCCACCACAGACACACACGTTTGAGAGCTCCAATGAGGCAAGAAGTGACCCTGTTGCATGAAACGAGACTTCAGATGCCTTAGCAACAGCCCTAAGACGTCGCAGTAGTGGGTTCCCCACGCGAAGCTCTGAGGTCATGGGCCTATTTCGGTTCTGCACTTTGCCTGTGGCTGTGGGACATCAGGAAAGTACTTCCCCTTCTGAGTTGCATAGATTTATGTAGGATCCTTCTGCATGTGTGGCTTCACTGGTGGCTCAGGTAAAGAAGGTGCCTGCAGTGCAGGAGACCTGCGTTCCTTCCCTGGATTGGGAAGGTCCCCTGGAGGAGGCATGGCACGCCACTCCAGTATTCTTGCCTGGAGAATCCTATGGATGAGGAACCTGGTGAGTTATGCTCCATGGGGTTGCAAAGAGTTGGACACAACTGAGTGACTAACACTTCCACACCTGTGGAAGTCTGGGAGCTCTACTGAACATACACTATCAGAATAAATGTTCTGAACATCTATTTGCCGGGAAGCTCACACCTCATTAAATTATCATTTGTGCTGTTACTTGTTTTAAAGGCTGTCTCCCACATGAAGCTCTAGAGGGCAAGGACCAGACCTGTGTGGCGCGCCACTGTCCTCCATGCTTGGCTCCAAGTAGACTCCATAAATGTTCCCAGAATTTAAAGGGAACCGTTTTACAATGGTACTCCCTTTTCTGTGGTGACTCCAGCTCAGAATTTGGGTGGTAAAAAGAGCCCGAAAGAAGCTGGTGGAGACCTGCCCTGCCCATGCCCTCAGTGTCATCCTTGGATGCCCTCAGGGTCCACAGTACCTGCTGAATGTCCCATGTGAGGGCTCGGCTGGACGTTATGAGAACAGGGATAATGGCAGTGGATAATCCTCATCCCGGGTTCCTGACATCCCTCAAGTAATTTTTATTTAATCCTCCCTCCTTTAGCTCCCGAAAGGTGACCCAAACCAGGCATTCAGGATACTCCAGAAAAGTCAATCTCATTGAATCCTCTTCCAGCCCTGCAGGAGGGGTGCTGATAGCACTCCCATTACACAGATGATGGAGTAGAGGCTGGGAACGGTGAGTAATTTACAGTCCGGGGTACAGCATAGCGGCTTCTCAGGTGGCTCAGTGGTAAAGAATGCGCCTGCCAGTGCAGGAGACTCAGGTTCCGTCCCTGAGTCGGGAAGATCCCCTGGAAGAGGAAATGGCTCCCCACTCCAGCACTTTGCTGGCATAATCCCATGGTCGGAGGAGCCTGGTGGGCCACAGTCCATGGGGTTGCAAGAGAGTCTGACAGCAACTGAACAGCAACAGCAGTGCCACTACTGTTTTCCTCCTCATTCCTGAGACCATGCAGTGCTCAGCCTCACCCCAGACCCTCAGTTCAGTTCAGTTGCTCAGTCGTGTCCTAGTCTTTGCGACCCCATGAATCGCAGCACGCCAGGCCTCCCTGTACATCACCAACTCCCAGAGTTTACTCAAACTCATGTCCATCGAGTCGGTGATGCCATCCAGCCATCTCATCCTCTTGTCCCCTCTCCTGCCCCCAATCCCTCCCAACATCAGGGTCTTTTCCAGTGAGTCAGCTCTTCGCATGAGGTGGCCAAAGTACTGGAGTTTAAGCTTTAGCATCAGTCCTTCCAATGAACACCCAGGACTGACCTTCTTTAAGATGGACTGATTGGATCTCCTTGCAGTCCAAGGGACTCTCAAGAGTCTTCAACATCACAGTTCAAAAGCATCAATTCTTCAGCGCTCAGCTTTCTTCACAGTCCAACTCACATCCACACGTGACCACTGGAAAAACCATAGCCTTGACTAGACAGACCTTTGTTGGCAAAGTAATGTCTCTACTTTTTAATACGCTATCTAGACTGGTCATTAAAATACACTTGCTAGGTTGGAAATTAAAAGACTCTTACTCCTTGGAAGAAAAGTAATGACCAACCTAGACAACATATTAAAAAGCAGAATCATTATTTGCTGGCACAGATCCATCTAGTCAAAGCTATGGTTTTTCCAGTAGTCATGTATGCATGTGAGAGTTGGACTATAAAGAAAGCTGAGCACAGAAAAATTGATGCTTTTGAACTGTGGTGTTGGAGGGGACTCTTGAGAGTACCTTGGACTGCAAGGAGATCCAACCAGTCCATCTTAAAAGAAATCAGTCCTGAATATTCATTGGAAGGACTGATGCTGAAGCTGAAACTCCAATACTTTGTCCACCTGTTGTGAAGAACTGCGATGGAGAGGGAGGCCTGGTGTGCTGCAGTGCATGGGGTCACAAAGAGTTGGACATGACTGAGTGTCTTTCAGTCAATCGCCCACTAAAGAAATATATTCATCTTGTGACCAAAGGTATTTTTGAAAACCCAGAAGTTTGTTTCCCTTTCCAGCAAACTCAGGTTATATCCCTACTTGAGATGGGGGTGTGATTCCCCATGTGTAAAATAGACAGCTAATGGGAACCTGGTATAAAGCACAGAGAGCTCAGCTCAGTACTCTGTGATAACCTAAAGGGGTGGGATGGGGGTGGGAGGGAGGGAGGTCCAAGAGAGAGGGGA